GAGCTGTCAGCACACGGCCCGATGCGGGGCTGGAACCCATGAATGTAAGATCATGACCTGAATCGAAGTCGGATGCTCAAGCGACTGAGCCACCCAAGCGCCCCTGTTTATAATATTTCTATTTTAAGGAACCTACTGAGATTATCTTCTTTGTGCCCTACTACATGATCAATTTTTGTGAATGTTCCATGTGTGCTTGAGAGAAAGTATATTCTGTATGATTGGAGTGTAGTGTTTAATATGTATATATCCAAAAGTTTCACCTTATTATGTTGCTTGGGTCTTTTGTATCATTGCTTATTATTTTGTCCACGTAATCTGTCTTATGTTGTGAATGGTATGTTAAAAGTCTCCCATTAAAGGATGCTTCTTTTTCTTGTATTCTTGTAGTTTTTGGTTTATATAGGCTTTTGCGGTATCACTTTGTGCATAGGTATTTACACATCTCTCTGTTGTTAGATCTTTATTTTGGACAGGGCTTTTAATATTACAAAGTATCTTCCTTTGTCTCATATAATTGCTTTTGGAATTCTACATTGGCATCAGGATTTCAGTCCCTGCTTTTATATTGTTTTCATTTGGTAAATCTTTATCCACCTCTTTAATTTTACCTTTTTTAAAAAATGTTTATTTTTGAGAGGGAAGGAGTGTGAGCGGGGGAGGGGCAGAGAGAGAGGCAGACCCAGGATCCGAAGCGGGTTCTGGGCTGGCAACAGTGAGCCTGATGTGGGGCTTGAACTCACAAACTGTGAGATCATGACCTGAGCCAAAGTCGGGCGTTCAACCGACAGCCACGCAGGTGCCCCAGTTTTAGCCTTTTTTTTTTAATGTTTATTTATTTTTGAGACAGAGACAGAGCATGAACGGGGGAGGGGCAGAGAGAGAGGGAGACACAGAATCGGAAGCAGGCTCCAGGCTCTGAGCCATCAGCCCAGAGCCCGATGCGGGGCTCGAACTCACGGACCGCGAGATCGTGACCTGAGCTGAAGTCGGACGCTTAACCGACTGAGCCACCCAGGCGCCCCTTAGCCTTTTTGAATGACTGTGTTTTAAACATACCTTTTGTGCACAGTATTATTGGGCTCTGCTTTACGAGGCAACATGAAAACATTTTTCAGTTCGTAGGTGACGTAAACCCATTTACACTTATTTATGTTACTGTTTGATGTCATAAACAATACAGATATGTTTGGTCTCAACTTTTTCACTTTATCTTCTGATGTAATCACTGTGAGATTGTTATATTTGCTGTTTCTTTCTCTATTTAGTGTTCCCTCTACATTTTTTTTTTTTTTTTGGTTATTAGGAAGGTTGTATTTTCATGCTGATAATTCCCTTTGTGTTAATACTCCATATAGTACCCTTAGGCAGTCCTTGTTTCTTTCTTTTTGTTTACTTTATTTATGAAAGTTGTATATATTTGAGGTATACAACATGATGTATACATATACATATTGAAATGATTACTACAGTCGAGTTAATTAACCTATCATCTCTCATAGTTACCATTTTTTGTGTGTGATGAGTATACCTGTAATTTACTTTCTTAGCATATTTCCATTGTTCAATATAGTATTACTTAAGTATAGTCATCATGCCTGTACATTAGATCTCTAGACTTTGTTTTTAAGATTTTATGTTTAAGTAATCTCCATACCCAACCTCGGGCTCAAACTCACAACCCTGAGATCAAGAGTTGCACACTCTGTGATTGAGCCAGGCAGGTGCCCCATGCATCTCTAGACTTTATTCATTCTACATAGCTGACTTTGTCCTCTTTGACCAACATCGCCACATTTCTCCCATACCCCTCTTAATGTTCTACTCTGCTTCTGTGAGTTTGACTTTTTTTAAAAAAAGATTTCACATATAAATGAGATCATACAGTACAATATTTGCCTTTCTCTGTCGGAGTCATTTCACTTAGCACAATGCCCTCCAGTTTCATCCATGTTGTTGCAAATGGTAGGATTTCCTTCTTTCTCATGACTGAATGATGCTGAGTTGTGTGTGTGTGTGTGTGTGTGTGTATACACACCACATCTTTATCCATTCATCCATCGATGGACACTTAAGTTGTTTTCCATATCTTGAATAATTCTGCAATGACCATGAGAGTGCAGATATCTCTTTGGGAGAGTGATTTCATTTCCTTCAGATATATACCCAGAAGTGGGACCGCTGGACCATATAGTAGGTCTAGTTTTAATTTTTTGAGCAGCCTCCATACTGTTTCCCGTAACGCCTATACCAATTTACCTTGTTTTCAAAAAAGATTTTATTTTAAAGTAATCTCTACACCCAATGTGTGGCTTGAACTTCCAACCTCGAGATCAAGAGTTGTACGCTCCGCCGACAGGTGCCCCTACTTTTTTTTTTCTTTAGTAATCTTTTATAACATCTAATTTGTCTCTCACCTTTACCTACATGGCAGTCAACGATCTCATTCATCTTTTCTCTTTTTCTTTCTCTTCTTCCATTTTTTAGTTCTTTTTCTACTTTGTCGGGACAACTTAATATCTATATGTTATCCTTCAGCCCGTGTCCCCAGCGTTGTGTTAGTCTTAACTTTACGGTAGTATGTAAAATGCCCAGTGTCAGGCTTTTGCCAAAATTTCCCCATTCACCGGTTTTGGTCGGATGAAGCTCACCGTTTGGTGTAGTGCTGGTCAATAGAACCCCTTGCAGTGATGAGTACGTTCTGTCTCTTTGCTGTCCAGGACTATAACTAGCCACGTGTGGCTACCAAATTGGACAGCGCAGCTCTGTTAAATTCCTGAGGAAGGGCACAAGTGTTTTTGAGAAATTGATGCCAGTTTAATTCTCTGGTCTTGTAAGTTATTTCATCTTTTTTGCCTGGAGGCCCTGAAGAGATATTTTCTTTGTCTTTAAATTCTAATTGTTTTGTTAAGTGCTATGTCAGAGTTGGTTTTCCGGGTCAATTTTCCTTGGTACCCAAGGGGCCTTTGATCGTGTTGAGATTTGCTCAATGATCCCGGGTATGTCGTAGCTTGGTGACTATTCCGTGTGTACTTGAAGAAACTTAAATTTCTATGTTTCTGAGTGGAATGCTCTGCAGAGTCCTTTGGTTGCTGGGTGGTGTTCAGTTTTCCTATATCCCCGTTGATTTTCTGTCTACTGGTTACTTTGATTACTAAGAGAAGTGTTGAAAGTCAGCGGTTCTAAGTGTGCATTTGCCCCTTCCTTCTTTCGGTTCTTTCTGATTTGCTTCATGTATTCTGAGGCTATTTTATTAGGGCAGTCTCCCCCACAGTCGTGCTCCCCCACACTCCCTCCCATGATCTTTTGGCTGGACAGTTAGGGATTTAGTCTGTCCGCTTTGGCACTCACTTTCTGTAAGGAAGTTTGTCCTTGGGGCCAAGGGGTGGGAGGGTAGAAAAAAGGCAATGGGGATCCTTCCCACACTCTCCAGACCACTATTCTTGCCAAAGAAAAGGATTTCTCTTCCTTAGAGTTTGAGGTGTCTGCTGCTACAAGGTTACAGGTTTTTTGTGTGTTTTTTTTTGTTTGTTTGTTTTTTTTTTAGCCCTGGGGCCTACTTTGGGGCAGGACTGCTTTAAAAAAAAAAAAAAACAGTATTTCTCCCATTTTCTGTGTCCCACAGGGACCCCCCCCCCCCCTTCAAGCTTCATGTACTTTTGGTGTCCCTGCTGACTCTGTACCTGGTGCTTCTCTCAAGCTCTTTGTGTTTTCTTAGCCTTCCAGTTTATTCTGGTGGTTTCAGCTAGTACTGAAATGCTATTGCCTCCCAATCGTTGGCCTATCCTAGCCTTCTCTTCTGAGCTTCAGAATCCTATAGCCACCTGCCAGCTGGACGTCTATCAGTATGTGCCATAAACAACCCAGCTCAGGTCCAAGATCTATTTCAATTTCTCCTTCTGCCAACCCAGTATCTCTCTTGTTTTGCTCATCTCAATGTATGGCACCAGCCTCAACCCATCTGCTCGCGCCATTATCCTGGGAGTAATGATCTGTGCCTTTCTCCCACTTAACAGGACTTCTGTCTAATTTCGAAATATAAATATATTGTGGGAGGGTCAGAAAATATTCTGATGGTATAGGGAGTCAGGCATTTTAGAGACTGATGATCTGTAGGAAAAAAAAAAAAAAACAGTTGAAAATCCCTCCCCTCTCTGGCCCCGGAATGTCTCTGTAGCCCTTAAGCTCATCATAGCCTGAAGTGCTGTTTTTCTCTCCTCCGGTTCTATATGTAGTTTCATAGCTCACCATGTGTGTTTCATGTTTTCCTGCCTTTTTTTATGCTGTTGTCCCATATTTTTGAGGGAAACTGTATTCTTGTTGAAGGATTCCATGCTCCGTCTCCCCAAGTGAAGTTGGATCTGATAACACAGCCCACTGCACCCTGTACGCATGCCTAACGCAGCTCCCGTAACACCTCATTGCAAGACTGTGTTCATACCTAAGCCTCTTCGCTGGGTTTTGAGCTCTTTGAGAACAGGCACTCCATCTTATCCCTTTTTTGTTTTCCCAGCAACTGGGACAGGTCCGGGCACCTCGTGTTAACTCAGCAGTCAGCAGTCTTTTCTTCATGGATTGATATAGTAACACAATAGCAGGGCCATTCTGGGTTCCCCCCGCCCAACAAAATATAATATCGAGCAAGACACAGGGTCAGGTGTCCAATGTAGCTTCTTCTAGTTAACTCTTACTGGTGCTCTGTGGAGAGAATTAGTTTCACACATCTGTTTTTTTTTTTTTTTGAGATAGTATTTAACATTTTTTTTTAATGTTTATTTTGAGAGAGAGTGTGTGAGCAGGTTGGGGAGGGGCAGAGAGAGAGGGAGAGAGACTCCCAAGCAGGCTCCGTGCCATCAGTGCGGAGCCCGACACAGGGCTCCATCCCACGAACCGTGAGATGATGACCTGAGCCGAACTCAAGAGTCGGGTGCGTAACCGACTGAGCCACTTAGGCGCCCCTCCGTGTGTCCCATTCTGATCATTGCAGCTTGTTGTTACAGGGATCTGTGTCATTTGAGGACGTGGCTGTGGATTTTACCCGACAGGAGTGGCACAGACTGGACCCTGCTCAGAGGACCATGCACAAGGATGTGATGTTAGAGAACTACAGCAACCTGGCATCCGTGGGTGAGGATTATTGTCCACGTAACTCCTGGTACCATAGGTTTCCTTTCTTGGTTACTGTAATGTGTATGGCCTTTGTAGACTTTAACAATACTTTAGGTTCTAGATTCAAGGGTCACAGATGCTTGATTAGGTTTGAGGCACCAGGAAGCGTGATGTGTGTTGTCACTTCCCCCAATGAAAGGTTTAAATGGGCCCCCTTCCTTGTGCAGCTCATGAAGATGCACCTTCCTCCTCCATCAGAGGCCCTAGCGCTCAGACAACTTGGCCCATGTCCTCTGCCATTTCCCATTAACAGGCCTCTGCGTGGCCAAACCAGAGATGATCTTCAAGTTGGAGCGAGGAGAAGAGCTGTGGATTTTAGAGGAGGAATCCTCAGGCCAACGTTTCCCAGGTGAGTGAGCAGAAACGGGAAGGAAGAGTGCAGAAATTCACGCTTGGGGCAGTGGTTTCCAGTAGGCTCTTTCTAGGGGCCCTTCCTCTTTGCAAATGACTGGAGGCAGAAGGTTTACACACTTCAGGTACCTAAATCACACCTGCCCTCATTACGTTCACACTTAAGTGCTCTGGTCTGTTTTATCTTGAGGTTTTTTTTTTTTTTTTTTTTTT